GGATGGATGGATGGATGGATGGATGGATGGATGGATGGATGGTTTAATTCTATTTACATATCACTTTTCAGTCAGTTTCTTTACAGAGGTTAAAATAAGTCATGTTGCAGCCCCTTCTGACATGGTTTTGCAGCATCACTTTCTAAGATTGCTTTTGTTCAGAAGGACCAGGGAAAGTGGTAAAAGTCAATGGGATCATGAGTGGAACTAAGTACAGGTTAACCCTCGTAGAAAAGCTGTTAAAGGCTACAACAGTCTTGAGATGCAAGTTAACCTTCTATCCTGACATAAAGCCAAAAAAAAAAATCATATTTACATATATATAGATACGTATATTCTTTAGATCTACTATCAATTTAACCAAAGTCAGAAAGCATTCAAATATTTTTTTATCCATTTTACTTTACATTTCTGTTAATATTATTTATTTATTATTTTATTAGTTCCAAAGACCACTGAAAGTGACAAATATTGCCACTACAGAAAAGATTCTTCTCTCACTGTTGACACATCATACAGTATTTTCTGCATTTCCGTTTTCGTTCACATCAAAAATAATCACAGTGCATACAAATAAAAGTCACCTGTCAGTTGAAAAGAGGCCTTTTAACCCAACCTCTGCCATCAGTTTTTATGGACTTTGGTTTTTAGACATGTGACAAAAGGTTAGAAGGAAGTTGTTATTGACTTGAACAGAAAGAAAAGTGTTACATGTCCAAACAGCTGGGATAAAACCTAAACGTTACTGCCAAAATCAGTTCATATAAAGGTGGGGATATTGTGTGTGTTGCATTATGATTTATTTGGTATAATGGTAATTAAAAAACAACATTTATTAGGAGTTATATGGATTCATATTTAAACAGTGCAAGTCTAGTTTTATAGTTTCAGCTTCTGTACATAATATTATTAAAACTCAGTGCAAACATGTACAGCTTCACCTTCCTAAAGAGCTGAAATTACTGTTATTTTTTTTATGGAGAGCAGCCAGTCTGCTCTACATTTTCTTTGTCTAGACAGAAAGGAGCAGGGAGGTTTGGCCTTAGCACACACACACACACACACACACACACACACACACACACACACACACACACACACCCCTATAGACACCATTTTTATTTTATTTTTACAGGGATAAAACAACCAAATGTTACCATTATGAAACTGATGTAGCGTACAAAGGTCTACTAGCCACAGGGCTACTAGGTTCCTCCCAATAAAAAAGCTGAAACAAAATTGAGTGCATATGACAAGGATAAAATAACTACATTCTGAAATAAAAAAAATATTATGATATCACAAAGTACATAATACAGATGAAATACTTGAAACCAAAAGTTCAGATTTTCACTGTTTACAGCATAGTTGCCTTTTAGTCAGTGTTTCAGTGTTGTTGAGAAAAGCCTAATTCCTGACAGCAGCTTCAGATCCAGTGGTGAAGCATTCATCCTTGGACTGAGAACTTATCTACTTTTTTAAATTCTCTTGTTATCTTTCACTTATGATTTGAAATTATTTAAATTTTTAACCTTTTTTTTAATTATTATTTTCAATTTTGATAGCAAGAAAATTTTTCCAAAAAAGCATTTAAAGGTATAGTGGAGGATTGTCGCAACATTTTGAAAAGAACTGCCCTCTCCACTTAAAAAAAATGCACATACAGAACCCTGTGCCCGCTCTGAGATGGAACACCTATTAAACGCGTGTGAGAGCGTGCATGAGGCCATTTCTCCTCATGCACGCTCTGTTTAAAAGATGCTGTTTGCGTCGCTCATATACGCTTACTTTCAAAAAGAAGATTTGCAATTGTTCCACTATTTCAGACTCACCTCCAGTAATTGAAAATGGGGACAAGCACGTAGGATTGCCTTTCATCACGAGAATCATTGACAATTATGAGGACCACTTATTTTGAGGATCCACCAGGAAAAGCAAATCCAGGACTCCACGACTCCACTATACCTTCAAAATGACTCCAACATTTTAGGTTTTAATAAAGTGGTCTTTCTTTCTCTTTGTCTTGTCTGCAGATCCGTCGGCAGGGTGGAATCCAGCTGTTGGTGGACCTGTTGGACCACCGAATGACAGATGTTCACCGCAGCGCCTGCGGAGCACTGAGGAACCTGGTGTATGGCAAGGCTAATGACGACAACAAGATCGCCCTGAAGAACTGCGGAGGCATACCCGCTCTGGTCCGACTACTCAGGAAGACCACAGACCTGGAAATCCGAGAGCTGCTCACAGGTACAGCTCATTAGTTACCTCAATTTTAAGGGTACAAAGACGCAAAAATCTGCTGCTTTATTACCTACACTTTGGAATCTGTAGCATAAATCTGCACTTGACTTTTTTGTTTGTGCTTGTACTTAGAACAATCTTTCATTTCACTTGCAAGCATGTCATTTACAGTGAAGTACACCTTGCTGTACTCTGAAGAGAGATGCAAACGCACTCCCATTTACACATGTATTTACATGAAAAGAGTGTAAGGAAGTGTCATGGTACAGTCACTGCAGTAGTTCCCAGAACTGTCAGTACACGCAAACATGTTTTAAATGATGGGTTTTTGGTTCATTAAATTTAACTTCTAGAAAGTGCTGAGTACGGGATGTAAACGAAGACCGATGGAATCATCAGTCAATGCTTTGCTACGGCCACTATATTTATCTTTACATTTATTGTATCCTTACAATCAACAACAGCACCGTAGATCCCTCTAGAGAGAGCTAGAGACATGACAGCTGTAAATGAATGACTCAGTTTTCAAAACTTAATGCACAGAAATCCCGGGGTATAATGTGGGTGGTTTAGGACTGTGGGTGATTCCAATCCAGTTGCTAAATTAGGAAAGTACAGATGTATGTTTGTAGTATATACATTTTATAAAAAACATATGAATGTTTTGAATATGAATTCTATCACATTAGTTGTGCTTCCCAGTTTAGCTGTCTGTAAAAACAGATACCTTTTACCACCTACACCTAACTAACAAATGCTATACTTAGATGTGTCAGAATGTTGACAGCTTTACAACCACAGTGCTTTGCAACTGTATTCGCACAGCTTTGATGATAATAATATTTGCTTGTTTTCTGCTGCAAAATAACCTGAGCTTAGTCGGATTGAATGGAGAGTGTCTGTAATAGCACATCCTGAAACGTTCTCAACTTGGTTCAGGTCTGGACTTTGGCTTTGCCGTTTTATGTTATAGGGATATGCTTTGATCTTAACCATCACACTGGAGCTCTGGCTTTATAGTTCGGATTGTAGAGCTTAAACATTAACCTCTTAAGCGCTTTGTGTCCACTAACAGGTTTTCTTTTAGGAAATTGTGTATTAAGGTCTCATCAACTCTAAACAGCTATGCTGTCCATGCTGAAAAGAGGTACCCTCAACGCATGATGCCATCACTACAATGTGTCCCCCATTAGGAGCTTAACGGGTGGGAATATTCTGTGGGGTTTGTAAAATTAATGGGAGATGCCACAACTAATAAGTCAAAACAGTGGATTATTTCCTTTGACTTAATAATGGTCCAATTAACCTACATTTGACTTTCACATAGTATCCTTATGAAACATATTCAACATCGTGGTTGTACTGTGGCAAAATATTGGAATCTTCTAGGTTAAGAGTACTGTTTTTTTATTCAACTTGGTTATTTTCATATGAATAAAAACAAAACTACACAAAAATTGCAGAGATTGTTTCCATCTTAGACTTTGTTATCTTTGATGTCCATTCCCTGCATCATCTACAGCTGTAGTTCATGCCGCAAGCTGATGTGGGACTCTGGCCAGGGACGAACATGTAAACCAACGATTGCCCTAACAGCACAATGTGAAGTAATACTAACAGGAAAGTGACAAGTGTTGTCTCCTCTCCCACATTCTGGCTCACTTGCTGCAGGGCATGTTGTACATTATCAGGTGTGTTTGTCAGTCTGGAAAAGGTTTTTGGTCTTTTCAAAGATCGAACTAGAAGGAGTTTGTATGCAGCTAGAGTCTTAAAGAAGATTACCATATAAATTAGAGCAGCAATTCAATGGTGTGGAGCACAGAAATCCCCTCTGTCACAAATTAATCAGCTGAATGACCGACCGGACGGACGCATACAGACCACTCTGTCCTCTCTCTTCCAACGACTCACTGGGAATCTTTCCTTTTTTTCTCTCTTCTCTCTCTCTTCTTCTTTTCCGTCTCTCTCTTTTTCTCACTAGTTGAATTTTCATAACTGGTGTGTCGTTTTCCTCGTGCCTTTGTGCTTCCCTTTTTGTCTTTCACCACTTCTCTGATTTCACTCATACACTCTGCATTGCCAGCCTTGTCTTCCAGCATTTCTTTGTCTGGTGAGCATTTTAAATCAGAATCACAGCAGGAAGTCCAAATACCTGCCTCGCCAGCTACACACACACACACACAAATGCACACACACACCATGACCTACCCGTAATCACACAGTGATGTGTGACAGGCAACCTCTGTTGTTCAGTCCATCTTCGTTTGTACCAGTGTAATTATGGATCTTTTCTCCCATGTTTGCCACTTAAATTGATCATTCTGCTAGAACAAGTGAAATTTCTAATTAAACGGACTAAAACATTACATGTAACCTAAATGGGAATGTTTAGACTTGAAAATAACTGCCTTTCAAAGGTGTTTGCAGCAGACTGTGGTGTTTTTTCTTTGTGTTTTTTTTTAAAGGAGGATATAAAATTCTGTACAGAAAAAAAGATATGTGTGTCCTATTGTTCTGTGTCAAGCTCAGAACAATAGGATCCAGTATTTGAGGCGGACAAACATATTTTTCAAAAAATGTTTTTTGGAAACAGAACCGCAGTGAGCAGCGTCAGCTTCTAAGGCAGGAACCTCTGCAGGGGGAGACAACAGGTTAGTGACCACATATTTCTGTAGGTGGAAGTTAACGAATATGTGAGTCAATAACCTGCTCTTATAGTTCAGTGTCGAGCACAGAGAGTGAGATTAGTTCCAGCCGGTCGGCTGCCAACACAATGAAGGGGGCGCCACCCTGATAGTGCCAGATGCTGATATATAGGTGGACAGGCAGGAGATCAGAACCGAGCAGACGAAGGAAGGCAGAGGGCGAAGCCATACCTGATGTCGGTGACGTGTTCAGTCGTCAGAGCCAGGAGATCCATAATCCAAAGAGATGCCAAAGGGGAATCCAGAACAAAGTCAAGAAACAGTACCAGGTTTGGTGCACAGACAGGCAGAGATCAGGCAGGAGTCCGAAGATAGGTCAGGTAAACAGATCAGAACGGGGACATGCAGGCTAAAAAGTCCAGAGACAAAACAGGTCAAGATCAGGCAATCGGAAACACAGGTACGCTAGAGAACTGTCACCACAGGCTCAAAATATGACACTGATGACTGGTCTGAAGGCTTGTTAAATAGAAACTGAAGCAGGTGGATCAGATGAGCTATAATGAGAACTGGGCACAGATAAGCAGGTGAGTGAAAGGAGTTAACAGACTAGACATCAGCTCCAAGATAATGACAATCTGTGTTCAATATGAGTAAAATACAAAGGCGTGAATGTCTTGTTAAACAAAAATAAGAAATTTTAACTTAACAGAAGGATATCTATAGCTTTTAATCTTTCCAACTGAGGTTGTCAAAGGAAGGGTTGTTTCTTTTTTAGAGGTCTAATGTGTGGACTGTATGATTGCCTCTTGTTGGATTAATTCATCTAAATTAATAAATAATTAATTAATCAAAAAGCGAAAATACATTTTGCAGTAACTCTTAATTTTTTGATTTGTAGTTTGTAGTTTTTTTTTTGTTTTGTTTTTTTTTTTTTTTTTATTAAAACCAAGTTGTTGTAGATGTTAATAGCTGTAGGGAGGAAATATCTAATAATACCCACCTTTCTAGAACTTCCAGCTATTGTTGTGTCCAGTGCTGGAACTGAATACAAAGGAAAACCATTTGTTACCTTGTTAGTGCTTTGTGGGAATCTTCTACATGCACAGCTGCTGATATTGACATAAGGCTCTGATGTTTGACAGCACATCATCTAATATGAAGTACACACCACTTAACTACATACTTGGCCTCCAGCTGAGTGGCCTGTTTTTCCTTAACTCTAATTCCTTTGAAACACTGTGGTTCTGCTTGTTATTACAGTTCAGTGTTTTTATTTGTTCACAGCAGCAGGCATCACTGTTGGCAACATGCCTTAACGTCCTCCGCTGTTTTAACCAGACCCCTGGATATCCTATTAAACCAAAAATGTCAGAATACATGATAGCAAATCAAGTATTGCTTAATCGAGCCTGGGCTGTCCAGCACAAGGGACCAGATAACTGTCAAGAGGCTGTGGTCATTCAGAAGACTGAATCTGTCAGTTGTTAAGTACGTACTCTGATTCATCATTTTGCCATTTTCTTTAATAAATGTTGTGGTTATGCTCAAAATTTTGCACTGATATCAAGGCAAAATAGCTTCTCACACCATTTTTGGCATACTGCCACTGGAGTCAATTCAGCTGTGAGAGTGCATCTCATGCCTGAGCAATCTTCTGATTGGCTGACCCATGGTTGAAAGAGCAAAGTGGCCTGGACCCGATATTGTGGAGATTGTCCAAGTGGAAAAACCTTGAATAAACTGAGTAAAATGAGTTGGATAGAATCATATGGTAACAGAGCACAATGGTTTTTTATTAAGAAAAAAATCATGAATTGCAAGAGGAATTTTTGTTGGAATATTTTTCTATATCTCTTTCAATAGCTTTTAAAATCCAGAAATGTTAAGAATGGCTTCATAGTTTAAGAATCTTTGTTTGTTTTTTTTAAATAGCCACATATTTGTAGGATTTAACACTGCATATATGGCCTAAATTCAGTACATTGTATTTTTTTATTTTATTTATAATATTATTTGATAATATGAATCTATTTAAATTGTCAGCATTTGGAATAAAAATGTAAGCTGCTATTTAACGTGCTCTTTGTTGTCAAGTTACATTTAATTTTATTCTGTCCTAAAAGAAAAAATGGTAAGCTTACAGCTTACTTTTACCAAGGAACATCCAACACGTTTAAAAATAAAAAAACAAATGTTCAAAATCGAAGTTAAAATCTTCTAAAATAAAATATTTGTAGCTATTGGGGAAAACACAAGAGTAGCAGCCAGTTTAATGGATATGTATGTGTTAGTACTGCAAGCAGACGGTGACAGTTTACAATAATGTTTACACCTTCCGATCGCATCCAAAGAAAAAAA